TCAGGATAATCAGAAGTGTTTTTCTTTCGGGCAGTAGAGCTGCAAAGTTTAGTGTAAGTTCCACTTGTTCATAATTTGTCTGAAAATAATAACAACTTTGTTTACATATCAATTTCTGGCTTCTAAAGTGCAACTGATATTTCTAACATTTGCTTAAAACAGTTCCCTTCCCATTGCAACTCATTACAGATGCAGGGCTTCATAACCTAAATTAAATAGAATTAAACAGGAAGTCACAACAGGATAGAGCAGGTCCCCAGGTGTTTTGGCCTTCAACTCCCAGAAATCCCAACAGCTGGTAAACTGGCTAGGATTTCTGGGAGTTGTAGGCCAAAACACCTGGGACCCACAGGTTGAGAACCACTGGGATAGAGCTAGATGAGTTTTGTCTACCACAAAAATCCCAATGAAGACTGTCTTCCTGTGATCAATTCTACATCCCTTTCCTTGATGTATCAAATCATTGAGTGTACCCGAGGCCCACATTTCATGAAGAACTTAAAAATACACAATAACCATTTTCTCATGATGGTAATTAGGGACTCTCTGTGTTTTTTATTTATTAATTCAAATATTTGTATTATGTCATTAATGCTCAAAATGGCTTGATATTATGTAGTTATACAATAACACAGTTATAGTAACATTTTGTAGCAAGTCATTCTCGAATACTGTAACCAAGAGTTGTATGATATACAGTTATGCAGGTTGAGTGTCCCTTATTAGAAATGTATGAGACCAGAAGTGCTTTGGGTTTGATTTTTTTTTCAGTTTTTGGAATATTTGTGCATACATAACAGGGTCTCTTCAAGGTTTACCAAAGTCTAAATTCAGAATTCATTTATGTTTCATATATACCTTATAAGCATAGCCAGAAGGTAATTATTTTTTAAAAAAATAATTTTGTGCATAAAACAAAGTTTGTGTGCATCAAATCATCAAAAAGTAAGTGTCACTATCTCACACACCCATGTGACCAAATTTGGATTTTGAAGCATTTCAGATTTCTAGATAAGAGGTTTTTACTAGTGTTCCCAGTGTTGTTGCAACTAGTGTTCCCAGTGTTATTGCAACATTCTTAATAGAACAAAGTCTATCAGGAGAGTGATCACATGAAGTCTGGGTGCTTATAATGGCTAACATTTGGCCATCCCTTACTCAAGATGCCAAACAAACAAAATACCTGGCAACAGTGCATATTGCAGAGGGAAAGAAAATAAAACTTAACTTGATCGGTTAAAATGTAATGCTAAAATCCTGATACTTATGCAGGAGTAAAGGCTCTATAATTTGTTTTTAAAATTCTCGCCTCCCCAAGAAATAAGATAACTCTGATAGTCTACAGATACCTGAAATTAGAATATCTTTTGCTCCCAATTAATTTATATGTGCAAATATAGTAAATATAATAATAATAAAACTTTATTTATATTCTGCCCTATCTCTCCAAGGGCACTTTGGCGGATTCCAACAAACAAAAAAGGCCTCAGTACAATAACAAATGTAGACATAATATCCCAAAATAACCCCACATGTGAAAATAACATATAACCTGACAGGTATAGATTAAATAAAACGTAACCTATCTAAAAATTATATCTAACATAAAACCTAAATATAAAACATCAAACATTCACATTAATCTATCATAGGCATGTGTTTTGAAACACATAATTTGTTTTCTTCAACGGACTTGTTTCCTATCATTCCTGTTACAAGCTAGCAAGGGAAAGTCTCGATCAGGGCTGCATGATAAAAATGCTCATTTTCCCCTATTAGCTTTGGCACTTGTTGAGGGAGACTAATGTGTATGCTTAACCACTAATTAGTACACACTCTGAACTAACAAAAATTCTACTAAGAGTGTACTTGCCTGTCACTTATCTCATATACTTATGGTTACACAGTGATACGCACAAGAAAATCCATGGTTTTTCAGAAAGCACTGAAGACAAAATAGATGTTGGTTTTACAAAAGAAAATATAACCTAGTTTATATTTCTCAACCAATACTAGTAACTTGTCTTTTAAATTTTAGATAAACAAATCTACCACTTATGCCAGTACATACTTCTTTTAAAAAAAGAAGTTGTATGTTTCACGTTGACTCTAGACTTATAACCTTATCATTGCATTATTTTTGACATTGTTCCTTCCTCTGAGGCTTAGAGTATGACACACACAAAGATGCACACTAGGTTTCCCTGACTGAGACACTATTTGAACTCTGGTCTCCCCAATTCCTTGTCTAACACTCAAACAACAACTTGATACTGATTCTCAAGATGCACTTACCTGAGAATATAACTCAATAGACTCAATATAATTTATTAACTGAATATACAATATTAACATCCACCCAGTTTAATAATTAAGATGTCTAAAGGTAAAAGCTCCCCCTGGCATTAAGTCTAGTTGTGTCTGACTCTCGGGTGGGGTGCTCATCTCCATTTCTAAGCTGAAGAGCCAGTATTGTCTATAGACACCTCCAAGGTCATGTGGCCAGCATGACTGCCTGAAGTGCCATTACCTTCTCACAGCAGCGGTACCTATTAATCTACTCACATTTGCATGTTTTCGAACTGCTAGGTTGGCAGAAGCTGGGCCTAACAGCATGAGCTCACCCCACTCCCCGGATTCAAACCGCCAAGCTTTGGGTCAGCAAGTTCAGCAGCTCTGCAGTTTAACCTGTTGCACCACCAGAGTTAAAGATGTCTATTTCGAAGTAAATGCCAATTTGGACAAAGAAGATAAATATATGCAGCACATTTCTAAAATTTTAAAAAAGAAACACTGAACCAAAGAAAAAGCTTAATTTGCAGAACTTTTTGCTACAGAGTCACTCAATAACAACTCCACACTCAACCTACAAAGGGCATGTCCTCTAAAAAAGGGCTGTGGACAGGGACTAAGTAAGAGGAAATGGAATAGGCATGAGGAGTACTGTGTACTACACTATACAGATGCTCCGAACTATGTAAATATTAGCTGCCCTAATTTTTTCTAAATGACTTTATTGCTGTTATATTGTCCTTTGTATCTAGCAAAAAGAAACTACCTTGTAATGACCCAGAACAACCCATTTTCTGTTGTGTGGAAATAACACCTTATGGAGTTAAGCTATGCTAGGGGTGAAATTCCAATGATTTAGGAGTTTTAAATTTTATTTCAATGATTTTTTCCAAGTTCTAATTAGAGCACAACAATATTTGAACTGGTCCAATTACAGAAATTATATTAAGTGCCACTTATTTAAGATTTTCTCCTCTAGGGGCTCATATATATATACACACACATACACATACACACACACACACACACACACACACACAAACAGATTCTACACATAAATGTGCAATAAACTCATATAAAGCATACTTGCGCCATTCTTCTTGTAAGAAAGAAAAAACAGAGCATAAAGAAAATTACATATTACACATATACATTAAAGGTGATGACGTGATACAGCTAGAAGGTAAGCACTTTCAAGTTCCACTGGTTTTATTGTGAGAGATAAACACATCCTTACTTTAAAATAGACAGACTTTGGCTTGATCATGCTCATGTTTTCTGAGTCCTGCACATAGGCCGACAGCTATTTTACTCCACAGGTGTCTCAATTACACTACATTTACCTTCTGCTGCCACATTATACCAATCATATTTTTGAGCAAAGGGATAAGCATGAGTGGTTTTTGAGAAAGCTCTTGGACAATGTCCAAGAGTTTCCAGAAATGAGCTACTTCTCTTCATGCATCACTTGCACCCCCTTGTGTTAAATATGCATACCTTATTAATACTAGGAACTTGCTAATAACATAATTTAGATTTCATATACAGCCATGTTACTTGTGTATTTGTAAAGCTACTATCACCAATTTGTAAAGAGCCGCCACCAAATTGCGAGGAAGTGCTTAGGTTTAGGAGAGAGGAGCCACCGATTTGTAAAAGGCTCTTGTATTAATACCACTGGATGCCACCCTATTTGTGTTGTGAGGTAATTTTGTATGATTGGGTACACCGAATGTAGAATTAATGGAGATGAGGCAGTTTTTAAAAACCAAAGAGAACAAGTTTATTTTGTAACAAAGCGTATGGTTGCAGTTTGATGTTAAGCTTGGCAAATACTTGGAGAACGTTACATGTAACTTGGTTGCGATACAGTTCAGACTTCCGATGTTACAACTTATAAAACTCTTGCTGTGGTGAAGCACTTTATTAAACAATGTTTTCTGTGGTGAATAGTCTCCCTGCTTGATCCTTCCTGTGATCAAACAACAGATCTCTAGTTCTTTTAACTAGTGATCTAAACAAGCCTCTGTTAGTTCTTTCTAACTAAAGAAACTAATAAGGTTTTCCCCTTCAGCTTTCCTAACTGAAGAAATCTCTGACTATTCACGAACACTGTTTCTCTACTTCCCACTTTCTCTCTACATAACTGTTCACTTCTCCTAACCTAACTCTTCTCTCCTCTGAGCCTAAAACCTGACTCTTCACTTCTCTGAGTCTCAAACCTGACTGACTCTTAACTGTCGCTTTTCAAAAAAACTCTTCTCTAAGCTCCTCCCACTCCTCTGCAGCATCGTTTCCATGGTAACACACTCCTCACAGCTAGGCCGCTCCAGCCTTAGGGCAACCAATGCAAACACAAATACAGTTATAATCATATTATTATAATCACTTCTGTACAGTATTGTTTGTCAAAACAGTAAGTTAAAGCTATATGTAGAAACATAAAATAGAAAGAGCATGTGGGGAAATTATATACCTCCTTTCAGTAGAGCCTCAGAGAAAAAATTCTAACAAATCTAATCTATCATTTTAATGAGTTCAGTAACAGCAAAATGCAGATAACTTTCCCTCTTCTCTCATGCTTACAATAAAATATTCATCCTTAAAGGCTGCTTAAGACGAAATAGCACATGCTCTAAATGTTTTAAGAAACTTATTTAGTAGGTTTTACATGAGCATTTCAACTTTGGCTGATTTATGCTACTTACACTAAGACAGGTTTGCCTGATATTTTGGGATGCCTTAGAAGTTCTGACATTGTCTCCTTTGTCTCTTCCATTCTCTCCACATCACTGGAATCCACGACAAATATTATTCCATAGGATTCAGCATAGTAATTCTTCCAGATGCCCCGGATTCGTTTTCCTCCTCCAAGATCAAATATTGTGACTTCAAATCGACCTTGCTTAAGGTCAATTTTGGAAAAGCCAACTGTTGGAGCCACATCTTCAGGAGATTCTGATAAAATTGAAGCATGAGTTATAGAGAAAAGTAATGATAAAGCCATTTATGCCTAACAAAATGCTACTTCAGAGGATCAGAAAACATAAGATATAAGAAGCTGTCAGTGCATGTATCTTTGCAACTGCAGTCACACTGAAGTCACATAGAAACTCCAGAACAAGACTTTCTGAAACGAGCAAACTTTATATTAGAAAGAAATTATCATCATCCTGCAATAGATTCATAGGCGTCAGTGAATTGAATAACACTGTCTCAAAGTTATAGTTCATCTATTTTTCAACTACTAATAGCCAGAATCCTGTATACGCTATTTTACCTAAGTATCCTCTCCTATTCTGACACCCCAAACCCAATGAAAACATTATTCACACATACTCCAATCATTGGCTATTTGTCAGGAGTACTTTGATTGTGCTTTTCCTGCATGGTAGGGGATTTGACAAGATGGCCCATGTGGTCTCTTCAAACTCTTATGATTCTGATTGGTTTCTCCCCATGCAGCTGATGCCAGGTAAAGTAGGGCGTGTGTGAGAGAGAGTTGTGACCATGACAGTCACAAACACGACTAAGCAGCAATAATGAATCCCAACCACTAAGGCATGAGTAAATCTAGGTAGCTGTTTCGTATTCTCAACTGTTGTTGATGCCACTTCGCCCCCTTTATTTATATCCTATATTTTCCCCATCACTCTGGCTCAAGGCGGCTTCGATATTATAAACATTACAATGAAAAACAAAAAGCTATGTTTAAACTGAATTAAATTAAGATCCATATTCAAAAGATGCACTCAAACGGGCTATAAGAATAATAAACAATACAGTTTGAAACATACATCGCTTACTGTTTTTTCAATCCCAAAAACCTATCCGAATGAAAAAAAGTTTTAGCCTGCAGATGGAAGGACACCAATAGAGGCAATTCAAATTTCACTAAAGAGGACATTCCAAAACATAGTGTCAACCACCAAGAAGCCCTCTCTAATGTTTCCACCAACTGAAAGTAGCAGGACTGAAGGAAGGGCATTTCCTGTGGATCTCAGGGTCTACATGGGCTTATATTGGGAGATTGATCTGTTAGATAACCTGGATCAAAACAAGATAGGGAGAATTAAAAATGATGCAATGGTTTGAGCACTGAGCCATGACTCTGAAGACCAGGGTTCAAATTCCAGTTGGCCATGGAAACCCACTGGGTAAATTTGGACAAGTCACATAGTCTTTCCACACCAAACAATTTCTGTCAAGAAAACTGTGATAAGATTTGCCACAATTCTAACACCCTCTCTCAAACCTTCTTTACCAGATGTTAGCTGCTTGGGAAGAAGGAGATCTATTGTCCTGGTATCTGAGCATGGATGAATTTGAATTTGGTGGGTTGGCCAGGAGAAGTTATTTACTCTAGCATACTTAGTAGTTGGTACATGATTCCGGCCAATAATTCTATCAGTATACACACATATTAATTTACTGGGGGGGGGGGGGGATGTTAGTGGTCTGGCAAACTGCTATACCTTCCCAATTATAATCTGATACAATAATATCAGAGTCAACCATTTGTTATGCATATACAATTTACTGCTTAAACTGCTTCCCTAATTATACCCCAAAACAGTATCATAAAAGAAGCTATACCTACATTGATTTTTATGTAAATTTTAGTGATGTTTGCTCATTACTGTGTTTTGCTGCAAAGAGGACATAAAACACATAAAAAAGAAAAAAGAAGAGGCAAAGAACTATTATTGATTTTTCTATCCTGTACTAAAAATGAAAATGCCTATTTAACTCAAAGACATATTTTACACTTGGTACAGTGAAAAACAAATTTAAATCAACAAATCCTCAAATACTTAAAAATACTGAAAGGTGTTTTTGGTTCAGTTAATGACATTTGGAAGTAACTCTGCTTTTATAGAAGTAGTGTTTTCCTCTGTAAGGATAGGTAGTCTTGTCATGATTCCACAGGTTTCTGTAAATGAAGGATTTCTGGATACAGCAAATGCTTTACAGCAGTCTACCATGCCATGGGATGTGTGTAGTGAAGTGCTTCTGACATTCAAGGAAAAAGCAACCTTAATTTGCTGCATTTACATTTTGTTATGTGCCTTCAAGGTGATTCCATCATACAGCAACTCTCAACAAGTTTGCTTGGCAAGACTGATGTAGAGGAAGTTTTTCATTGCCTTCTTGTAAGGCTGAGACAGCATGCTTCTTAAGGGCACCCAGCAGGTTTCCACATGTGTAAGAATTTAAATCCTGTTTTCCTGAAAGTCCTAGTTCACCATTCAAACCACTACATTGCACTAAATCTTGTTTTTACATCGATCATAATATTTTGGGCTGTTTTGGAGACAATTTGTAGGCTCCTTGCACATTTTATTTCTTTGTTAAATATAGAAATAGGGCTTATTTTATATGTATCTTTAATTATGATCTGTATTTTATCGTTTTATCATGTTGTGTTTTAATGTATATTTGCTTCTGTTTTTATGATTGCATAAAGCATCAAATATTTGCCTTTTGTATGTATAAACCACCCTGAGTCCCTTTGGGGAGAGAGGGCGGGTTAGAAATAAATTGTTGTTGTTGTTGTTATTATTATTATTATGGAAAACTAATTACTAAATATTAAACAATGCAAAAATATAGAATTTAAAACCATTTTAAAGTATTGAAAAGCAATGTGCACTTAAACAATGTGTCCCGAGACAGAATTTCACAACCTCGCCAAATTATGATACCAAAAGCTTAACACAGCTACATGCAGGTCTCCAAGAGTAGGACATTCCACAACTGAGAAGCCCAGCCTAGAAACCTACATTCTCAAACTGTCTCCAAGGAAACATATGGAAGGATCTCCCATGAGATAGAAATAGATAGAACATATACTCAAGTGGAACAGTCTGTCTCTTCAGAGCCAAAAGGTCCATAGTATTTTTGTTAATTGCCTTAAGTTTTGTATTCAACGTATTTTGAAGTGACTTTTTAATCTATACATACAATCAATATGTTTGCACTTCCTATATTAGTCTTGTCAGGGTGGGGAGGGGGTGTTGATTTTGTAGTGGAAGCGAGGCAACCTCCTCCTTTTCTGCCCTATATCTGGTATGTATTGTACAGACACTACTAATCAATGCTGGAAGCAATGAATCTAGTTATATAGATTGATATCCACTGTGTTTTTAAGACACCTACTAGGGGGTTGGACTGGATGGCCCACAATGTCTCTTCCAACTCAATGATTCTATGATTCTATACACATATGGCAGAACTTATAATAAAAAATATCGCTATATAAAGAACAACCATGAAAACAATGGTATTTCATTGCCTTACATCATCCAAAGCAATATGAAGTGCGAAAGAAACAAATTGGTTTCTAAAAGTGAGAGATTTTCAAGGTGAATGAGCAAGAACACCTGCACGTATTTACACAACTTTCTTCCAACATCCTTTCTTTGGGATTCCGAATCGCTTAAAAAAAAGTTAAAGACCTTCATCCTAAAGGTCTTGAAAGGCCCCGAAAGTGTGAACAATGGGAAAACATCTGTTTATACTGATTTTTTTTTTACTTAATAGCATAAGATAGCACTTTGAACGGCATATCTTGCTCCAGCCAAATGGAATAAATGTAAAATGAATCTGTTTTAAACAGTGAAAGAGCCTGCCTTAATACTTAATGAAAAAGCTTCCCTAAAATGACAGGTTCAGAATAAAAATACCTACCTCCTTGAATTCCTTTTACTGTTGCAGTTTTCCCAGCATTATCAAGGCCTACCATGATTAATGTCACCTTCCTTTGAAAAAAACAGAAAGAAAGAAGTTATCATACTTTTTATAAGCAAACATAGCACTGAATTCTTTTAAAAGTATATGCATTCATAGCAATCATTATAAATTACTTATTGTTCTATATAACAAAGGAACAGAGTATTTCACTTTGAGAAGAACAGATTTAACAAGTGCTGACATCAAAGAGGCTCACAAAGAGGCAAAATAGATACAGAACAGCAGCAAAGGGAAGAAGGACAACAGAGGCAAGGGTGACTAGAACAATATGCATTCATTTCAATTACATATGCAGTACAATTTTGGAACTACAAGTCTGTTCAAAAGCTTCCTTTTAAAGGGTAGCGATTTAAAATAGAGTCAAATAATTTTGGTAGGAAAATGCAAGACAGACGTGAACAGACAGAAAAGGGAAGAGAGAAAAGAGATGAAAGAAAGGAGAGGGAAGAAAGTCAAGAGGGGGGACGATATAAGAGAGATAAAAGAAAATGAATTGCATTCAATTTTGAAGAAGGAATTACTATCTGGAGGGATACCAATGTTGCTGTGCAACAGAAAGTACAACTAATGTTTAGCTAACTGATGGGGGAGAAATCATATAGTTGATCAATAGCAAGTTACATTTATAATAGATTAAGAAAAAAATTAACAAGTATAGTCTACTGTCATGGCAAACTCTTGGCCTACATTCAAGCCTGACAGTTAAGAATTTGTTTATGGTTGCGTGTTTAATTTGATTGAATGTTAAATCTTTCACCCCATCTTGTAACCCGCATTCAAAGTTAATGCTGAAACAGATGCAAAAGTGGCTAATTTAGGACAAGACTGATGAACAACTTGGGTATGCACAAGAAATGTAAGGAACCATAAAGAATTAACTTAGAGAGAACTTTTTCAAGTATACTAGTAAATTAGACGGGGACTTTTTGGTGACACTTCTAGGAATGTGTGTGCACATAGGTTTTTAAAATATACATATAAATTATTTGCAGATCAGAAAACTTCACTGGTATAATACTGTGCTGCCTGAATCTCCACATTTTATTTTGTCAGTGATAATACTGACATTTGATTAACACCATTTAAGTTATATGCAGCAACGAGACAATATTCTACTGTTTAACTTCTCCTTCCTAACTTACAACCAAGTTTGTTAATGTTAACGCAACTGAGAAGATCCATAAGGTAATAACCTTTCTCAGTAATGTGGCTGGGGGGGGGGGGGGAGTGAAATGATTACACTTTGATATATCATTTACTGTAAGTCTCTAAAATATGTATGAGCTATTCAGGCTATCTGACAATGAGAAAAGGCACTTTAAATAATAATAATAATGGTGATGATTATTATTATTTCTTACCTCTCCTCGTGGCTCGAGGTGGGTTACAACATAGTTAAACATTCTATAAAATACACATATTAAAATGTATTTCTATTAAATGCATATTAAAATATACAGAACTAAGATTAAAACACAGAACCTAAGTTTAAAATTCATAATTAAAATTGACTGGGTAGGCCTGCCAGAAGAGATGGGTTCCAAATTCCAACAGTTCATTTAGCTGTTTGAGCTCTTCCAGGTCATTCTACAAACTTGGGGTGGCCAATGAAAAGATCCTCTGGGTAATGGTTGCCAGTTGGGTTATAGCTGGTTAGAGTAGCCACCGCCCCCCTCCCTCAAAGGACCTAAGTGTGAGGGGCGGATTGTACAGGAGAAGGCGACCCTGTAAGTAACCTGGACCCAAACCATGTAGGGCTTTAAAGGTCAAAACAAGCACCTTGTACTTTGCCCAGAAACTAATTAGCAGCCAGTACAGTGACTTTAGGATAGGTGTAATGAGCTCACTCCTAGATGTTTCTATAACCAATCTGGCTAGATATTTTAAACCAGGGGTCCTTAAACTAAGGCCCGAGGGCCGGATATGGCCCTCCAAGGTCATTTACCCAGCCCTCACTCAGAGTCAACTTAAGTCTGAAAGGACTTGAAAGCACACAACAATTCTATCTCATCAGCCAAAAGCAGGTCCAGACTTACCACTGAAATACTAAAAAGTTTATATTTATTAAAATTGTTCTTCATTTTAATTATTGTATTGTTTTAAAGTGTTTTTTGCACTACAAATAAGTTATGTGCAGTGTGCATAGGAATTCATTCATGTTTTGTTTTTGTTTTTTCAAATTATAATCCAGCCTCCCAACAGTTTGAGAGACTGTGACCTGGCCCTCTGTTTAAAAAGTTTGAAGACCCTTGCTTTAAACCAACTGGAGTTTCCAAATGTGGTACAAAGGTAGCCCAGTGTAAAGCGCATTGCAGAAGTCCAATCTTGACGTTACCAGAGTGTGCACTACGATCTTTAGATCCTCCAAATCTAGGAAGGTGAGCAGCTGGCCTATCAGCCAAAGCTGGTAATAAGCACTCCTGGCCATCGCATCTACCTGGGTTGACATTTGGAGAGACAGATCCAGAAGAACTCCCAAGCTGCGAACACAGTCTGTCAGGGAGAGTGTAACCCCATCCAAAACTGGTTGACACACTCCCATCTCCAGATTAGGACCCTTGATGGCAAGCACCTATTTTCTCTGGATTTAGTCTCTATTTGTTTTTCCTCATCCAACCCATTACCTCCTCCAGGCATTCATTCAGAGGAGACATGCTATCCTTTGCTGAGGCTGTTTTTGAAGGCAAGGAAAAATATATTTGGGTATTATCAGGATACTGATAATGCCCTACCCCATGCCTCCAGATGATCTTTCTCTGCGGCTTCATGTAAATATTAAAGACATTGCACCATATGACAGGTATGACTTGAACCACTGCAGCACAGTGCCTCCAATTTCCACCCCCTCCCCAGGTGTTACAGAAGGATACTATGATCAATGGTATTGAAAATTGCTGAGAGGTCTAGAAGCACCAACATGGATGCACACCCCTTGTCAGTGTTAAGATGCAGATCATCCACTAAGGCAACCACAGCACAATGAGTTGGCCTATACTGAAGAATTAATAATTTCCTTTTCACCAAAATATGGTGAAAATACATACAAATGTGCTATGTTTTAATCCTTTATTTTAACCTTCCAGATTTAAAAATCAAATATGTGTAAAATAATGTCCATTTCAGTCAATCAATTCAATCAGCAACTGCTTTACACTACACCATTATAAGTTGGATAGCATAGGCTTGAAATAATTTAAAACTGACACTCATAAAGCCCTAAATGCTTCCAGCCCAGCCTACCTGTCCAAACGTGCTCCTATGAACCATCTTGGAGATTAAGATTGCCTGGGGAGGCCCTGCTCTCGGTCCCACCTTCTTCGCAAGCGTGGTTGGTGGGGACGAGAGACAAGGACTTCTCAGTGGTGGCCCCTTGGTTGTGGAACTCCCTCCCTAGTGATACCAGGGCAGCCTCCTCCCTCCTAGTGTTTAGAAAGAGAGTCAAAACTTGTCTCCGGGAGTAGGTGTTTGAAAAATAGAGCAGTGCAGGAATGTTAGTATGGAATTTGTGCAATTTGACTATGGATTGGCCTTTAGACTACAACTCTGGATGATGTGATTCACTGAAATGTATTTTTATTATGCTTATTATTTTTAAATTTTTAACTTATGTTTTAACTAATGTTGCATGTTTTAAGGCACCGTGGAGGTGTGATTGTAAGCCACCTTGAGTCACCCTCAGGGTAGAGAAAGGCGGGATATAAATAAGGCAAATAAATAAATAAATCTTTATAACAATATAAAAGGATATATATAATCACTTAGATAGAGAAGCAGCATGATATAGTGGCTTGAGTGTTGGAAGAGGACACTGGGACCCAGGTTTTGAATGCCGCATAGCCATGGGTGAATCACTCTATTTCACCTTCCAGGAAAGACAATGGCAACCCCTGATTAAATAAATCTTGTCAAGAAACCCCTATGATAGGTTTGCTTGAGGGTCGCCAGGAGATGGAAACAACTTGAAGGTACACAACAACAGTTGCTAAGTACAGTCCTCCTAGTGAGAATATTTAGTAATTATTTAATTTTAAAAACATGAATCAATCAAGCAAACAATGATTGGATTTCTACAATATCACAATCAAAGATATGCATTATAGCTGCTTCTGTTGGTTTATTGTTTACAATAAGTATGCTAGTGCACACTGCATTATCACTCCTGTTTGGAGAAATATGAAACAGGATTTTTGTCTTTTCTTTCTCAGATAAAGTAAGGAATTGTAAGCCAACTATAGTCTCAGTCTTCAGATGTGACTTAACAAGGAAAGCAACAAATCTGGTTGCAACAGAACACTAAACCACCATTTTTAGTATGTACATTCATACTAACTTGGAAGAAAACAGAACAGTTCTCATACTAACTTGGAAGAAAACAGAATAGTTCTCATGAACAGTAAGAAGGGTCTCCTCTCACCATTCTGTGCAAATATAGCTAATGAAAAACTACAGAAAATGTTAAAGCTTTGCCACAGGACCAATTAAAGCCACCACCAGACTCCTTGTTACAACTCCTATAATAACTTTGTCTGAACTCTAGTAAAGTCTATTTGCTTTGACAGAATAAAATTTCACAGTGAAAAAAAAGGGTTATACAATATGTGTAATTTTTTACCTAATAGGTTCTCGCCACCGCTTTAGCCAGTTGCAGCAATTGGCCATGAGGCTATACATCCCTATCCAATAGCCATTCAGAGGACCACACCAAATGAACTGTAGATGCAGTCTGGAGACAGATCCTTAACTTTCAATCAAAAGATGCACCACTGTGGAATATGTATGGTAAGAAATAATCCAGCTAAAATTAAAGAAACAGAGAGTTGAAAGAACAATCAGTAAGAAGTTGTTGCCAACATTTACCACAAAGACTATCATAATAAAGATTTGTTCAGTTAGTTGGCCCATTAAGCATTACTGTGTTTGGTGAGCCTTTAATTCAGAGGTTCCTAAACTTATTTGGCCTACCACCCTTTTCAGAAAAAAAATACTCAGTGCCTCTCTGGAAATCTACATTCCTTAAGTGAACAAACAGAGAGATGCAGCAACAAATTTGCATTCTCTTACATGTTTCTATTTCTACCTACATCCTAAAACATGATAAAGAAGTTGTAAGTAAGACACTTGGGAGCTTTAGATTATAAAATTATTTATGAAAATCACCCATAGTAACATTTACATTACTCACAGAAAACTAAGATAAAGAAGAATATTAAAATAAAAATATGAATAACATTAAAAAATAATCCTAAAGGAAGACGGATAAATTCAATATGCTGCTATAAATGTATTAAATGAATTAATTTTTAAAAAAAATATTACATTTGCACTAATGTTAATTGTTTGTCACACAATTAAGAAACAACCTACATTAAATGTCATACAAGTAACTTATTTATAGTACAATACTGTCATTTCACGCACACGTTCCTGCCAGTGAAAGCTGGACTTTCCAATAATGCCCAACACGCTCACCTGCCAACACTGACTGGTTATAACTTGCATTTTGTGTGTCCATTTGGAAAATAAAGTAATCACTAGGACTTCAACTTTGTTACACAACAGATAAAACATGCATGCTCTAGGAAGGAATCTGGTCCATAACCCTTCTATAGAAGTTATTTTCTCCAAAACAATGTTTTAAAGTGATGTTCAAGTGTCTATGTTTTTTTTTAAAAAAAAAAACTTGTCTTTTTTGTTTCCACTTTTTTTTTTCTTTCTAAGCTATTTTCCCAATGGAGAAGTTAGCATTGTGACAGTCATTTCCAAGGGGCTTTGTTTTGGGCATCTTCAGGTCTCAGGTTGGCAGCACGCATGTCTTCGTTGATGGTGTTCATCCATTTTTCTTTGGCCATCCACGTGGTCATTGTCCTGCAATCTCCAAACGTAGTGCTGTTTTTGCTGCTGATGTTGGTTCTCTTCTCATGGAATCATCGTACCACTGTTGTCTTGCTTCCCGCTTCTTCCTGATCATTTTTATTCCTAATCTTTGGTGGGTGTCATCATTTGGCACATAGTCAAAAAGTGTCAGCATTTTCATTTCTATTGTGTTAAGGGTTTGTTCGTGGTTCCTTGTTGCTGGCCAGCCCTCTATCCTGTAGAGGGCTACTGGGAAAACAACTATAGTGTATATCTTAGCCTAGAGTTGTTCAGGCAGTTTTGAGTCAAACAGAATGCCAGTAATGTTTCACCATTTCAACCAGGCTGCATTTATTCATGACCATACATCTGGTATTGTGTCGCCATCTATAGAGAACAATGACCCTAGGTATTTCAATTGGGTAGCCTTCTTTAGTCAATGCCTCTCCCCATTTTCACCCAAGGCTACTACCTGGATCATTTGAGTACCCTTCAGTGAGCAATACTACCCATTTTGGAAAGCAATGATTTATTTTTGTACGCTTAAGACACCAGATTAAAAACATTGCTTTGAAGAAAACGATTTCTGTAAAAGGGATAAAGATACCTAGGGTAAGCATGGGCCAGATTCCTTCCTAGAGCACTTCCATCGGCTGAATGATATCTAGGGGCAGAGTAACATCCAATGATTTCCTTAGGTCCCTGACAGGCCACATCTACACTGACCATTTAATGCAGTTCAATGCTAGCTTCAAATTATGGTGGTTAGACAAAGCATTCAAAAAGATAGTCCTTAATCTGCACAAATGCTCTGTGGTTTGTGTAATTGCTATCAAAGTGGTTGAGGATTTCCTGTGTAATTATCTGCATAATGAAACCACTTTCATCAATACTGATTTGAAACTGACTTGTGGTCAGTGTAAATGTGTCCTTGGAGCCAATGTTTGGAGTTGGAAACTTTTTTTTTAACTTAGGCCCCTTCCAAACAGTTGAATAAATCCACATTATAAGGCAGTGTGGACTCAGATAACCCAGTTCAAAGCAGATATTGTGGATTACCTGCCTCGATATTCTGGGTAATATGACTGTGTGGAAGGGCTGTAAGAGATTAACTCAAGAATACTCCTCTTCAGGAATCATCTGATAACTTTAGTCCACCTCTCCCTGCTTTAGCTCCGCAACAATTGTTATTACGTATTGGATTATCTCTCATTTCTCCCAATACACAATGCATGACAAAGTATACAAAACTGGTTTTTGCTTCTGCATACTTTTTCACACTTAGGACCCTTCCACACATCTGAAGAAAATCCCACATTATCTGCTTTGAACTAGAATATATGGCAGTGTGGACTCAGATAACCAATTCAAAGTAGATAGATACTGTGGGATTTTCTGCCTTGATATTCTTGGTTATAAGGCTGTGTGGAAGGGCTCCCAGGGCTCTGCCACACAGCCCTATATTCCAGAATATCAAGACAGAAAATCCCACATTATCTGCTTTGAACTGGGATATAGGGCTGTGTGGACTCAGATAACCCGGTTCAAAGCGGATATTGTGGGAATTTCTGCCTTGATATTCTGGGAAATGGGACTGTGTGGAAGGGCTCTCAGGGCTCTGCCACACAGTCCTATATACCAGAACATCAAGGCAGAAAATCCCACATTATCTGCTTTGAAGTGGAATATAGGGCAGTGTGGACTCAGATAATCCAGTTCAAAGCAGAAAATGTGGGAATTTTTGCCATGATATTCTAGGATATAGGGCTGTGTAGAAGGGCTCTCGGGGCTCTGCCACACAGCCCTATATCCCAGAATATCAAGACAAAAAATCCCACATTATTTGCTTTGAACTGGAATATAGAGCAGTGTGGACTCAGATAACCCGGTTCAAAGCGGATATTGTGGGAATTTCTTGATATTCTGGAATATAGGGCTGTGTGGAAGGGCCCTAAATAAAGGTGAATGAGGAGCAAATCATGATTCAGAAATGCTTTGCAAACGTTGCTGCGCCTCTCCTTAACACCGGAGAGCATAAGAAAGTGGTGTCATGTCTTTCATCTGGATTAGATCTATTTTTATACCGCACTGAAGGTGGAAAAGCAAAAGTTACATATTACCAGATGACACTTATGGAAAAATATCATGAAAGATTGGTGTCACACAGCCTATTCTTCAAGGAGGAACAATAATGACATCAGATTTCTACTCTGATCAGAGAATTTTACACAAGTGTGGTGCCAGAAACCAATTATATCTGTTTGTGGCAATGAAATCTTCATCTTGCAACACATTTAATTAAAAATTAAATTTGCTCTCAACACAGAAACAGCCGGAGCAAAATAACAACTAAAGATCATGAAAATCAAATCTAGCTATTTTTAAAAAGTCAAAATGGTTCAATACTATGGAAGTTATAGTTTTACAAGGTCTGCTAGAGTGCTGGTGCCTCTCCAAACTACAAATCCCAGGATTCCATAGCATTGAGTCATTGCAGTTACAAGTGGCGTCAAGATGCATTAACTCTACAGCAGGCATGGGCAAACTTGGGCCCTCCAGGTGTTTTGGACTTCAACTCCCACAATTCCTAACAGCCTACCGGCTGTTAGGAATTGTGGGAGTTGAAGTCCAAAACACCTGGAGGGCCCAAGTTTGCCTATGCCTGTTCTACAGTGATGCCTTGTGTGTGGATTTGCCTTGAAGCCTCCTGCTGAGAAGAGTTACTTAACCTTTGTGGTATCTATTTTAGGCGGACGAGCACTCTGTGCCTTACCCGCTTTTTTATCACCGTGGTCGCTGGGAGAGGGGAGCGCATGGAGAGCAGGCCCAGAGCCCTGGGCGCGGGGCCTAGCCGCCCACATCCCCGCCTGGCCGGCGGAGAAGGCCTCCAGCCCACAGCTTCGCTCTCGCCTCCACTTCGGCTTGGCCCGTTGCTCAGACGCGGCCTTCACCGCCCGGCCACGTGACGGTGTTTCCTCTCGCGGCTCCCGCCCTCTCCTCGCGACGTCACGCCGTTGGGGCGCGCTGATTGGCCAAGCCCCCGACGAGTTCGATAACAACGGCGCGCAAAGAGGACGCGTAACTAAGCCGGTTGCCTATGGTTACGGTAAGGAAGGGGAGGGGATGTGAGGAAAGGAATTAGCCAATGGGAAGTGGACTCTGGCTTGATTGAAGTCTAGTCAACCAGTGTTTCCCAAGTAGGCGGGGAATAAATTTCTAGGCAGACAGAAAAGAGCAGTGTGATGCCTTTAAGAGTCAAGGCAGGGCTTATATAGTTTGGTAATGCTGGAAAGCTTTAGCAGTCCCCACCAAAATTCCTGGGTGCATCTGCACTGTGGAATCGATGCAGTTTGAGACCTCTTTCACTGTCATGAGTTTAATGTTATGGAATCCAGGGACTGAGAGTTTGGTGAGACATCAGCAGAGACTGGAAAACTACATAAATACATACATACATACATACATACATACATAAATTGTAGCAAGTTCTTGGTGGTATGGGCATACCAAAACACCTTGTCTCTCCCCTGAGGAATCTGTATAACAATCAAGTAGCAACAGTCAGAACTGACCATGGAACAACAGACTGGTTCAAGATTGGGAAAGGTGTACAGCAGGGTTGTATACTCTCACTCAACCTATTCAACTTGTATGCAGAACACATCATACGATGTGCGGAGCTTGACGAATGCAAGGCTGGGGCTAAAATTGCTGGAAGAAACATTAACAAACTTAGATATGCAGATGATACCACTTTGATGGCTGAAAGCGAGGAGTAGCTGAGGAGCCTTCTAACCAAGGTGAAAGAAGAAAGTGCAAAAGCTGGGTTGCAGTTAAATATAAAAAAACCAAGAAAATGGCAACCAGACTGATTGATAATTGGCAAATAGAGGGAGAAAAYGTGGAGGCTGTGACTGACTTTGTATGTCTAGGTGCAAAGATTACTGCAGACAGACTGCAGTCAGGAAATCAGAAGACGCTTACTTCTTGGGAGGAGAGCAATGACCAATCTTGATAAAATAGTGAAGAGTAGAGACAGCACACTGGCAACAAAGATCCGCATAGTTAAAGCAATGGTATTCCCCATAATCACCTACAGATGTGAGAGCTGGACCATAGGGAAGGCTGAGCGAAGGAAGATAGATGCTTTTGAATTGTGGTGTTGGAGGAAAGTGAGATTGCCTTGGACMGCCAGAAGATCCAACCAGTCCATACTTCAAGAAATAAAGCCTGACTGCTCATTGAAGGGAAGAATAGTAGAGGCCAAGATGAAGTACTTTGGCCACATCATGAGAAGAAAGGAAAGCTTATAGAAGACAATGATGCTGAGGAAAATGGAAGGAAAAGGGAAGAGGGGCCGACCAAGGGCAAGATGGATGGATGGTATCCTTGAAGTGACTGGATTGACCTTGAAGGAACTGGGGCTGGTGACGACCGACAGGGAGCTCTGGCGTGGGCTGGTCCATGAAGTCATGAAGAGTCAGAAGTGACTGAAGGAATAAACAACAAAATTACAACTCCCAGCATTGAAATATAGCAATTAAAAGTGGTGCCAAATTTATTTGTTTATTTTTAGATTTTAGATGGCTCACAACCACTAAAACATTACAATATACAAGTTAAAACAATACATATTAGGCACGCTGTAAACTTTAATAAAGTTTGATAAAATAAATTATACTAACCCAATTGTATAAAATAAATAGCATTGGTTCTACAGTTGAAGCACGTATTGTCCTCTTCCCTGACTCATTTTAGTCACCATGCCTTTATTCAATGACCAGTTGTTTCTCTTTTTTGTTTTTTAGCCAGCCATATCAGCATAACTATTTTCCAGCATCACATTTCAAATAGGTTGCTTTTCTTCCTGTAAATTTTCTTCACCGTTCAGATCTCACATCCATACAGAGTGATACAAGGGCATCAAGGAGATAAGACAAGCCCTGTCTCTATCCTCCTTCTGCAAGGACCCCAAAACCTGGTGGTTCTAGCAGGCTTTTGCAAATTATTAGCCCCAGGCCCTACCCTGCCCAATAGTTAGATTCCTACTCTGCAATTTACCCATTTCCCCAGCCCTTTGCCGCCTCGCTGTACTAGCCCTGACCCAGCCCTATTATAGCTATTCAGTAGGCCTGGGAAATGAATAGCCCCAGGCCCTACCCTAGCTATTAATTAGGTCCCTGTTCTGCACTTTACCCACTTCCCTGGCCCTATGTCTCCCCTTTAGCCCAGTCCTTTTAAAGCTGTTCGGCAGGCCATGGAAATAAATAGCCCCAGGTTCCACCCTAACCATCAGGCAGGACCCTGCTTGCACTTTACCCACTCCCTTGGCCCTAGTCTACTTCGTTGTACTAACCCAGCCCTCTCATAGTTGTCTAGGCCCACTCTGAAATTCTGCCCTTTGGTAGTTGAACTTTTTCCCAATGGGAATTATTTCTGGAACTGGTTTTTAAAAATTTTAAATATGTAACATTGTTTTATAGTGTTATGTGTATGTTGTATAATTGTTATTCTGTATGTTTTTGTGTCAATAATTGAATGCTTTACCTATGCTGGAAACTTCACTTTATTTCTTAATTAGTCGCTCTCCACCAAGGTGCTCCGAGTGACTTACAATCTAAAATAGCATTTATACAATATAAAAACATTCAACATAAAAACATTCAACAGTGACTATTTGGAAAATTAGATCTGATCACTTTACTTAAATGAACAACCAAACAGCCAAGTCTTGAGTGCCTTTAACAAAAGGTCGCAACTCCGACATTGCTCTAATGTATGGAGGCAATAAATTCCACAGAATTGGAGCGTAGATCGAAAAAGCTCTACGCCTTGTAGCTTCCAGGTGTATCTCCCTAGGGCCCGGTATGTAGAGGAGATTTTCCTGGGTGGATCGAGGTGACCACTGACGGGAAAAAGGAATGAGGAAACTGTCCTGAGTCTCCTCGGGGAGATAAAGCAGAATACAAATAAAAGTGCATTATTATTTTACTGACACAAAAACCACAGTATGTCACAGCAAATGAGATATATATGCTGGATTTCGTATCACAAAATCACAAGTCAAACACTTCCCAAGCGTCTAGGACTCTGTGATGTATTTTCGAATGATGCGCACAGATTCAAATAAGGTGGCCTTTTGCAGTTGACAGATCATGATTTTGTCAATGTTTATTGTTTCCAAATGCCGGCTGAGATCTTTTGGCACGTCAGCTAGTGTGCCGATGAGTACTGGGACCACCTGTACTGGTTTATGCCAGAGCCTGTATTATTATTATTATTATTATTATTATTATTATTATTATTATTATTATTTTATTTCCCCACACTTTAGTGTTCAGTGATATAGCATTGCATTTTATGATCATGTCCAGTTTTTTCATACCTGCCCTCCCAAGTGTTTGAGTAAATCTACACTTTGGAATTAACCAGAAGGAACCAGAATCCCTCTTGAAATGCTATGGGTATACTTCCTTATGGGGTCCCTATGAAACCTGGCTTCATGCCACACAATTCAGTGATTGTTCATTGTATCAGGAGACTGGTCATAACCTCCTTTTGCTTCCTGATCAACTTCTCCATGTTTGCTCATTTCCCTTGGAAGAACTAGCCATTGGGGTTGACCTATCCCCACAGAGCATCCCCGCCTCCTGTGGATCTTCTTGTCTTCTTGAACCCCTAGCACCTCTGTGGATTCCCTTGTACCAGGTGCCCAGAAAAGCTTCCTCTTTCTATCCCTTAAGAAGGAAAGAAGCCAAGCAATGCAGAGCATGGAAAACTGACTGGAACTGATATCGAGCTCTTTTAGGGGGCCCCTCCAATGAGGAGAGCCCTAGGACTACACCAAAGAGAGTCCTGGA